AAAAAAAACAAAAAAAATATAAACAAAAGAAGGGGGGGGGGGGGGGGGGGGGGCAAAAAGGATGAAAATGCATCATGGGGATCCCAAAAACATCGAAATGTGATAAATTGAAATAGGCATTGAGACGTGTTTATAAACTTTGAAACGTATCAAAATGCACGATTTTGAAAAAATGTGAAAAAAAAATTACCTAAGCATTTCAAAATGTCCCAGAATATGCAAATATACGTAAACTCGGAAAATGAGGGTAATGCACAAAAATCCACAATAATGGGGCCAAAATGTGTCAATCCTACAACACGCAGTCAAGCACTCCGAAATGCACAAAATTGAGCCATAATGCCCCCAAAAAGTTCCAAAATACTAACATTGACATCGAATGATAGCCCAAAGAGTCCACAAAAATGAAATCGAATTCCACCAAATTGTGATGAAACTTGCCAAAATGTATCAAGATTGGTTAAAACATGGCTAAATCCTTCAAAATATATAAAATTTAGCATAAACACCCCAGCATGATCCAAAATATGCGATACTAACATCAAAGCATGGCCAAAATCATTCCAAAATATATCAAAGTAATCTCAATTCCAAAACATAACGAGTTATGAGAATTTTATTAGAACAATCAAGCACGTCCCATATTACACGAAACACACAAAGAAATGTTCCAAAATGCGCAGTATTGACACAGTATGATAGCCGAAAGAGTCAGTAAATATGAAACCGAATTCGACCAAAACGTGATTAAACTTGCCGAAATGTATCAAGATTGGTTAAACATGGCTATATCCTTCGAAATATATGAAATTTAGCATAAATGCCCCAAATTGATCCAAAATAAGTAATATTGACATCGAAGGATGGCCGAATGCGTTCCAAAATTCGTCAAACGAATCACAGCGCTCCGAGCTATTTCCAAATGTGTGAATAATTGAATCACTCCAAAACATAATAAGTTATGAGAATTGTATCAAAACAATCAAGCGCGTCCCACATTACATGAAAAAACTTGGAGGCATGGTAGCATTTTCATGGCTCTAGAAGTTCGTGATACATACTGACCATGAGTCATTGAAGCACTTGTGGGGGTCAAGGAAAGCTGAACAAAGGCATGCCAGATGGATGGAGTTTATTGAAACATATCCCTACATCATTCGGTATAAGCAAGGTAAAGAAAACATAGTGACAGATGCTTTTTCGCAAATGTGTATCTTGATAAATTCAAAAAGTGCTAAATTACTTGGCTTTGAACATACTAAGGAGTTGTATGAAAATGACTTAGATTTTTTTGATGCTTATAAATCATGTGCAAAAGGTGCTGTTGATAAGTTCTTTAGGCTTGAAGGTTACTTGTTTAGGGAAAATGAACTATGCATTTCTAATTGTTCAATGCGGGAATTGTTGGTGAGAGAAGCACATAGGGTGGATTGATGGGGGCATTTTGGGGTTCAAAAGACCTTAGAAATGTTAGGAGAACATTTTTATTGACCTAAGATTGCCGACTAAGTCTAAGGTTTTACTTCAAGGGCTTTACACACCTTTATCAACTCCTAGTGAACCACGGGTAGATATTTTGATGGATTTTGTGTTGGGTTTACTAGGACTAAGAAAAAACCAGATTCGATATTTGCGGTGGTAGATAGATTTAGTAAGATGGCGTATTTCATTCTGTGTCATAAAACTGACGATGCCACTCACATAGCGGACTTGTTCTTTAATGAGATAGTGCGCTTACATGGGGACCTAAGAGTATCGTATCGGATAGGGATACAAATTTTTTGAGACATTTTTGGCAAGTTTTGTGGGAAAAGTTAGGCATTAAATTGTTGTTTTCTACAACTTACAATCCACAAACCATGGACAAACCGAGGTAGTCTATAGGACATAACTCATTTGTTGCGAACGTTGATAAATAAAAATTTGAAAAGTCGGGATGAGAGTTTACCTTTCGTCGAATTTACATCAAACAGAGCTATTCATTCTACTACTTCATGTTCACCATTTGAAATTGTTTATAGTTTTAATCCACTAACCCCTATTTAATACCTTTACCTGTGAATGAGCGTGATAGCTTAGGTGGTAAAAGAAAGGCTGAACTAGTAAAGTCACTCTATGAAAAGGTCAGGTTGCAGATTGAGAACAAGAGCAAACTCATTGTGTTGTAAGTAAACAACAGGAAAAGCGTTACATTCGAACCTGGAGATTAGGTTTGGGTGCATTTCAAAAAGAAACTCTTTCCAGAGCAAAGGAAGTCAAAGTTACAACCACGGGGTGATGGACCATTTCAAGTCATAGAGAAGATCAAGGACAATGTGCAAAAATTAGATCTTCTAGGCGAGTATAATGTTTCAGCAACTTTTAATGTTTCTAATCTCTCTCACTCTGATACAGGTTCAGATTCGAGGGTGAATCATTTTGAAGAGGGAGGGGATAATGTGATTCAAGAAGCTAGCCCGATGAAGACGAGTCAAGATGAGACCTATTGATTATGGAAGGTGGTCAATGATGCGATCGAAAGGAAAACGGGTAAATCAAGCCATACTAGTTCAATCAACAATTGATGAGACGATGATCATGGCGGAAAAGGAGAAAAATTCCATATTGGGATCAAAGGCTGGAAACAATTGGATTGACTTAGTACGCACAAAACTTGAGCCAAAGGGTCGACCTAGGCGACTGCACAATGTAATCCACCATGCGGTCGACAGAAAATCAGGATGCACAAATTATTTACTTGTGCGACAGCACAAGTACCATACGGTCACATGGTACAAAGTGACACACGAAGTTTCCTTTTTTCGTGAATTGCCTTAATTTGTTAGAATTCTATTTTTTAGTTCAAATTCTTGTAATCTTTAATTAATATTTTCACTTTCTTTACTAGGTTTCTAGGGTTGGTATAAATATGTTTTTCATTCATTCATTGTAACAACTTTAGACATTATTATTCAATTGAATTGTGAGGCTTATTGCTTTCAAATCCATTGTTCTTCCTTAAAACAATTTCAAACTTATCAAGGTGCAAATCTTGTGGCGTTCAAATATTAGGGGTGCAATTCTTGGGTTGTTTAATCAAGTGGTCTTCCAAACATCGTTTCACAAAACAATCAAACACGTACCATATTACACAAAAAATACAAAGATCGCATCAGAATACATTTATAAATGCGAAGCTTAAGAAAGGCCAAAATGTACGAAAATGTATTAAGGAGATTCTAAGCACACTGAAATGTGTGAAATTGACAAATAGGTATTGAGATGTGCTTAAATGCTCCAAAAAGTTTTCACAATTCACAAATTTTACTAAAATGCAAAAAATTTATCAAAGCGAGGCAAAATATCCTAAAATATGCCAAATATACCTAAACTTACAAAATGAACTAAATGCACAAAAATCCACAAGTGTAAAACCAAATTGCCCCACAATATGACGAAACTTGCCAAAATGAATCAAGATAGGGTAAACATATCTAAACCCTACAAAATGTGTAAAATTGAGAGCAAATGCTATGAAAATGAGATAAATTAACACCAAAAGATAGCCAAAAGTGTCCCAAAGTACGTCAAACGAATCTTAGCTCTTCGAGATATTTTCAAATGTGTGAATACTCAAATCGTATCAAAACCATCAAACACGTACCATATTACACAAAACTACACTTAGAACACATCAAAATACATTGAAATTCATAAAGCTCAAAAGAGGGGAAAAAGTATGGAAATGCAATTAGGGGATCCCAAAAACATCGAAATGTGAGAAATTAACAAATAGGTATCAAGATGTGCTTAAATGCTTTGAAACCTATCAAAATGCACGAGTTTTACAAAAATGTGAAAAATATTACCAAATCATTTCGTAATGTCCCAGAATATGCAAATATACCTAAACTTACAAAACGAACGAAATGCACAAAAATTCACAAATATGAGACCGAATTGCACCAAAATTTTACGAATATTCGCCAAGTGTGCCAATATAGGCTAAACATAGCCGAACACTCCGAAACATATAAAATTGAGCCATAATGCCCTCGAAATGTTCCAAACACGCAATATTGACACCGAAGGTTGGCCCAAAGTGTTTCCAAAACATGCGAATTGAATCGTAGCCCTCCAACTTATTTCCAAATGTGCAAATACTCAAATTGTACCTGATCGTAATGAATTACGAGAATTGTATTAAAACAATCAAACAAGGACCATATTACACAAAGAACACATCGAAAACATTGAAATTCGTGAAACTTTAAAAAGGACAAAGGGTACAAAAATGCGTTAAGGGGATCCCAAACACACCGAGCTGTGCGAATTGAAAAATGAATTCCGAGACGTGCTTAAAACGTTTTGAAAAGAATGAAAATGCTCGAGTTTGCAAAAATGTGAAAAAGTATATGAAAGCATTTCGTAGTGTCCAAGAATAAGCAAATGTGCCTACACTTGCAAAATGAGTGAAATTGACCTAAATCCATAAATATGAAATTGGACCAAAAGGTTACGACACTTGCCAAAACATGTCAAATTAGGTATGACATGATAATACTTTACAGTTATATTTTTTACTGCCCTACAATCAATGCACATTCGCCATGTTACATCTTTTTGGGCAGAAAGTAGCCCTGGCACCCTGTATATGGACTCATGTTCTTCCTCACGTACCCTTCGCCCATCAACTCTTCAACTTGCCTTTAAAGTTCATTTGTCTTCTCAGAATTACTCCTATCGACTAGTTGGCTTGGAATAACATCCAAGTACAAAATCAATTTAATACTCGATACTTCTAATGGGTGGTAACCCACTAGGCATATCATTAGGGAACACACCGTTAAATTCCTACAATAAAGAAATAGCCAAATTGGTAAAGCGTCCTCAAAGTTAAGGAAGAATCCTTGCACATTAACAAAATCAAATGCTAATTTTCCATGAAAGACCTCTTGATCTCATTTTTTTGGCATAAAACTTGCCTCTCTCTCTCTCTCTCTCTCTCATGGCTGTTACTCTTTAATTTTTTTGCCTAGAAGTTTAGATTTTGCCCTCATCCTCAGTTATCAGTTCTCCCATTATCACGCATAATTGTTGACATTTTATTTGGTCATTGAGATGAAATGTGTCCAAACCTAAGCATTTAATAGTTCTAGAAGGTTAGAACAATTAGTCTTGAGTTTATTTTTGTTAGTTATCTCTTCTTTCTTCCTAGGTAGTTCGATTTACATTTGAAATAGCTCTATCACTATGATTATTTTTACCTCACTTCCATCTCCAAGAAGAATTAGAACCTAAAGAATATTTTCCTTCTCCTTTTATTTTCAGTTGCCTCTCCACTTCATAGCCATGAGCACCATGTTCTCTAATTTCACGTAATGCTATAACTCTACTACACTGGCTATATCCCAATTTAATCTAATCAAGAACCTGGCTATTGTTGTAATACTCCAAATTTTGTGCTCATTTAATTTTTAGAATAGCAATTTAACTTTTCAAAATTTAGTATGACCAAAAAATTATTTATGGTTGCCAAATTTTGTATTGGTTGATTTATTAAAAGTTTTTCCAAATAATTTGTTAATTAGGGGTTTGGGATAAAAGTCCACTTTACACCTAATTACTAAAGTTAAACATTGTTTCTCCAACTTGGTCGAAAATTGACGAAACATATATGCATGAGGTGTTTGGATTTAAGAAAATGAGACCATGCAGCCTACACATGTTGAATTTGTTGAAGAGTCGCCCAAAATTAATCATTTTTCTCACCTATAAATAGATGTGTTGCTGCCCTTTATTTCTCTTGCATGAAAAATAACTTATCACTTGTTTAAAAAAGGGCAGAAAACATGAGGGAAGAAGAGGACCAGCCTAGCATTTCTCAATTCATTTTCAACCAAGATTTCTTCAAATTTTATTGTAAGATATTTTCTATGCTTAAGTGGTATGATTTCATGGTAATATTTATGCTTAAGCTATGCATGAAAAACCATAATATGAATGTGGTGGACAAGTCCACAAAGTTAGATATCTATTTATGCCTTAGGACAAGTTCGAAGGGTACCGGCAAGCCGGAATGTACAAGTCACATTTGATTGCATTCTTTTGTGTAGTATTAACATGATAAAATCCAAGCATGGTATCTTACTGAGTATTCTTTTGTATAGTATTAACATGATAAAATCCAAGCATGGTATTCTTTACTGAGTGTTCTATACTAAATTCTCAGATTCATAATTGTGGAGTTGGTGGAAGTCAGTCGGCAAAATCGATGATGGACCAAGGACAAAATTATTTTACATCGAAGTTTCTGTTTTGTATGTTTTGTTTGACCGCTTTCCATATGTTTTGCTTTTGTCATTATATAAAAACATGTATAAGACATGATGTAATATGATAGGAAGTAAATTATGTAATTATATCTATCATGTTATGTTAAGAGATGTTTTTCTTGTCTTTACTTTCCCTTGCAAATGATAAAAAGGTAGAAACGGGACAGTTTTTGGGTCAACTTCAGCACGTTATTTTTTACTCCATAAACGTCCATTTGAGACTCTGAAAATATTACTTCGTTCCTCATTGAGTTTTCTTAATATGGGCACAAGAATCACTCAATTTGGATATCTGTAGCCTGAGATATTAATTTTTAAACGTTGAAGG